GGTTAATGAGGATGGCGAGGCCTGCGTGCGGCCTACGTGCGGCCTGTGGGGCTCAAATGGGGCCTTGTGTGGGGCCTGGTATCGAGACTGGGGGGGGGCCCTATGGGGGGCTCAATATGGGGCCTACGTGGGGCCCTATATGGGGGCCTATGGGGCTGTATCTAGGCCTATGTGGGGCCTATGGGGCTCACATGGGCCTATGTGGGGCTTTGTATGGGGTCAATGTGTGGGGCCATATTTGGGTCCTATGTGGGGCTCAATATGGGGGTCTATGTGGGGCCTGTGTCCAGGCCTATGTGGGGCCTAAATGGGGCTGATGTGGGGCCCTATGTGGGACCTATGGGGCTCAAATGGGGCCTATGTGGGGCTTTACATGGGGTTGATATGTGGGGCTCAATATGGGGGTCTATGTGGGGCCCTATGTGGGGCCTGTGTCCAGGCCTATGTGGGGCCATATGTGGGACCTATGGGGCTCAAATGGGGCCTATGTGGGGCTTTATATGGGGTCAATGTGTGGGGCCTAAATGGGTCCTATGTGGGGCCTTATATGGGGCTCAATATGGGGTCTATGTGGAGCCCTATATGGGGCTGATATGGGGCCCTATGTGGGGCCTTATATGGGGCCTGTGTCTAGGCCTATATGGGGCCATATGTGGGGCCTGTGGGGCTCAAATGGAGCCAATGTGTGGGGCCCTATATGGGGCACTTATGGAGGCCTCCATGGGGCAGATGTGGGGCCCTATATAGTGCCTCTATGGGGCATATATTGGGCCCTATATGGGGGCCTCTATGGGTCACATGTGGGCCATTTATGCGACCCTACATAGGGTCTTTCTGGGGCATTTATGGGGGCGCTATACGGGGCCCCTGTAGCCCCACGAGGCGCCTGTAGGGGGCGCTCTCCACGAGGCACAATGGAGTTCAATGGCGAACGACCCCCATTGAAAGCAACGGGGCGGTGTGGGGCTGAGCCCCATCGCTCACTGCGGACCCCCCCGCCCAGATCCGGGCCCCCCCGCGCTGGAACGGCGTCTGCGGGCGGTGGAAGCGGAGGTGGCGGTGCTGAAAGCGGCCCTGGGGGACGCGCTGCGGCGTATCGGCCTCTGGGAGGGGCGGCTGCCCCACGGTGAGAACCCCCCCCACAAAGGGGGAAAAAGTGTTGGGGCTGGGGGGGCCATGTGCCACGTGGTGGG